TATATATCTATATATGTATATATATGAGCGTATCTATTTGAATAAAAAGCGGTGTGCAAAAAATTTAATAACAACAACAACCGAATTTGTTGCTGATGATCATAATGAAGCAGCTGATGTTGCTGATTATTATGATGACGATGCAGTGCAGCAACAGCAGCAATAACAACAACAACAACAACAGCAACGACGACATCAACAAACAACGAAGCTAAGAGCGGCTCCTTATTGCAAAAGGTAAGTGACCTCCTTTGTATACACAGTTACACCGCTGCCGTTACCGTTACATGATTACACCGTTACACCACTATACCATTATACCAAATATAACAACAACAAAATCAACTCCTCGATGCCGAAAACAGCAGCGTGGCAGCTATTAACGGTTTCGAGCTACACTCTCGTCTTTTATTTTGTTGTTCTTGCTTTTCTTTTTTCGCCACTCGAGCGGCAAGCAACAACAATTCCATTGCATACGCACAGGGGCCGGCAGCTGCTGTCCATTGAGCAACAACTACAACAACAGCTAAATACGAATTACAGCAAGCAAACGCAGTAAAAACAAAAACAAAAAAAAAGAAAACTGTCGGCAAACATTTTATTGAATTTTATTGTTGTTGCTGCTGTCGCTGCTGCCGCCTGGCGATGCAAGCTATGCGCCTGCGTTGAGCACAAATACGTTTGCCTAAAGCAAAGAGAGAGAGAGAGAGAGAGAGAGAGAGAGAGAGAGCGTGAGAGAGCGCCAGCCTGTGAGAGGGCGTGCAAGCGAGCATTGAGTCCAGTCTTGAGAATACGCTAAGGCGCAGTTACAGTGGTGAAAAACGCATTGTACCTCATCTATTCTTAACGATCGATATTCAAGAATGCAAGCCTTCCAGAAAATAAAATTTTAATTCGAATATATATATATTTGAATTCATATTCAAAAATATTTAAATGGGATATAAATTCTAAATTCTTTAGTCAAAATTGTTTAAAAATAGAAAATCTCGCAACAATGTTATACATACATATATTGTATTTAAATTTGCGCCATCTAATGTCAGTCTATTTTCTAAATCATATCTGCAATAAATTGGTTATTTAAAGAAAAAATTAAAATATAGAACAGTGCTATATGCAGTAGAAAATATATGTAAAAATAAATAGTTATTATTTGTATGTTATTAATTTTGTAAATAAATTCCTGTGTACCATTTATGTTGACTTCTTTATGGAAGTTTATTTTCCTTGCCTCTATAGTGAAGCTCAAAAATAAACTTTAATCTTAATATACCTTTCCTTCCTTTAGAACAGTATTGTATTCATTTGAACATATACATATGTATATAATTTTATATATTAAATATATGCATATATTAATATTTCTAAACTTACAAATAAAATACCTAACACATTTTTACATCATGTTTTAGTGCTCTTTTAGGTCACTGTCACTGATAGGAAGTAGGGAATAGCACAAACACAGTTATTACTTGCGTTACACTCTCAGCTAGTACGTGAGTCCAAGCAGCTGTAACTGTTAAGTACTCACTCAGCGGCACTTACGCTCTCGCTCTTCCTCTCTCAGTTTCGTTCCTCTCTCTTCTTTTCAGTTGAGCTCAAAGTTTGAGCAACTGCTTCTGAATTGAGCGCATTTCGTGCAGACTTTTAGCCGCTGCTGCTGAGGGCAAGGCTCAGTTAGCCACCCATTTTTTACACACACACACACAGGCGCACACACAAATACGTTTGCATACATATAAGCAGCCCGGCATCTTTTCCTGTGCGCGTCTTCGTTTCTTTATATTTTTTTCTCGTTCTTTTTTTCCGCTTACTTTATGGCCGCGTTTTACGATGCCTTTGCCAGTCATTGTCGTTTTGCTTTCCACTTTCGTTCTTTTCGGCTTGGCTTGGTTTAGCTTTCCTTTTGCCTTTTTATGCCGCTCAGCGTATTTGTTGCCTTTCGCCGAAAACATTTTGTTGTTGTTGCTACTGTTGTTCTTCGGCAGTTTTGTCTTAAGCAATAACACACGGTCCTCCATTCTCCCTCCATTCGCTCCACCCAACAACAGATATTATCCGCCCCACTAATAACAATCGCATATAAAGCGCAGCAACAACAACAAATTGCCGCCATTAATTGTAATCAACTGCGTTACCTGACGACAAACATGTTCCTGCATGTCGGGCTGCGTGCTCTTCTTCTCCTTTTACTTCTACTTCTTCATCTTCCTCGCCCTCTTTGTACTAACAATATTTGCTCTGATTACATTTGATTGCAACTAGTTGTAGCCGAAGAAGTACTTGGCCATAATTGAGATGGAATGTCTTCAGACAAAACTCAATTATGGAAACTATCAAAATAATTGTTTTTGCTCTTATTGCTATAATAATGCGTGCAGCAAACTTTATCAAAATAGTAGTTAAATTCACTAGGAAGGAGAAACGTGGACTTGTATTACATTCTATAGATACAAGGAGGTCTCATGATGATATACATACATAGACATGTATTTGTATATTATATACATATGTACATACATATATACATAGCTAAAATTACTCCTTAATTTTCACTCCCCAATACTAGCAACTTCTTCTGCTACATGTCAGCTGGATTTATACCTTTGTTTCAGCCTGTTTCATTGCAATTTATGAGCTTTCCTTTTATTTTTTTAAGTTTCGTGAATGTTCTATGTATATGAATGTAACGCGGAATCAGAGAAGTTTTAACTTACAGACACGGCAGGAAAACACATGAAAACTCATGGGCGCAAGAAGCAGAGAGAGAGAGAGGTGTTCTTTTACTGTATTCTTACTAAATACATTGTTCCTAAGCGACAGAAGAGTATATTGGTTTTAGCTTTTCATAAAATAGGGTCATTTATTATAATATGATACAATAACAATTCTTTGATTTAATATGAATATAATGTCATACAATTTTGAGTTCAGTTTATCCATTGATCAATATGTGCATAAATCCATACCATTGGACAACCTCTTATCATAGCTTCACGCAAATCTTTTTTTAAGCGTAAAGGAGCTTTTGTCTAACAGGAGTATATAATTCGATGGACTGATAAATTAATATCTTTATCTGAATTGTATTGATAGCTTCTAGCCTTAAGCGGGTCTGATCGAGTTTGAGGTGGTCGTATTTTGACAGGTAGAGTGAAGACATCAATTTAAGGAGACTAATCGATTTATCGATTACCGATATATAGATAAACTTTAGTGAGGGATTAATTACATAATTTTATTAAAAATATATCAAGCTATGTATGTTATTTAACCTCTCAGTTAATTTTACCTATATATCTATAGTCGATAAATCGATAAGTTTTCTTTAACTGCTTTTCAGCCTCTCTTATATGAAATTCGCCCTATTACACAAACGTGATATTGGAATTTACAGCTTAGAGTGACCATATTTTGATGTTCAGCTTAGTCCATTCATAATTCGATAAACCAATAAATCGATAAATCTCTCTAAATGGCTTCCTTAACGCTTTTAGGCCTCGATTTCGAACGCGTATTCGGCAATCGCTTATGCCCACTTTCAATACATTTACTTTTCTTACTTTACTTTTCTTTATTTCTTGTTCCTCTTCTTCTTTTTTGTTTGTTTCAACAAAGTTATTATTGCTTTAATTTCGTGAGTCAGTTGAGTTGAATGCGTGGCAAAGTTTGTTTTTAGGGGTCGTCGTGATTTGTCCTCTCTCGATGACTGTTCCTCCTTCAGCCTTGCTCGTCCTTCTCGCTCGCTCTGTATTTTTTCCACTTTTATTTCATTATTTTCTTCTTCTTGTTTCTGTTGCTTCTGCCGCCTGTTTTCTTCTGATGCCTTAAATTAAAAAGTTGTTGTGCGTTGTTTGGCACCGGAAAAGTTGCCGTTTTGCATTAGAGAGTGCCAAGGCGAGCAGCGACAACAAACGTTGACAACAGCAGCAGGACAGCAACAACAACAACGACAACAATAACAGCAGGACAACAACATATGTGAGCTGGCAAATCTGTGAAATACTCGATTTTTACGCCTCTGCTCCTCACTCTCTCTCATTCTCTCTCCTTCTCTCCCTCTCTCTCCTACTCTTTCACATCCTCCTGCTCTCACCCTGTCTGTTTTATTTAGTTGGTTGTTGTCGTGTTTACGATTTGTTGTTGTTGCCCCTTCAAGTTTAATATGTTCCCCAAGGGCCTCATTAGTGGCGCCCCCTGCCAGCCAGTAGCGGCAGCTACAGCTGCCACCTAATAAAAAACATTTGCTTTGCACTATTTGGCTTCGTTGGCCTGGTTTTCTGTTTCCAAAAAAAAAAAAAGAAAAAGCTAAAAAAAAAACCGTTGTCAGAATTGGGATTAAGGTTTCATCTAAAACTTTAAGTGTTGGGTCTAATGAGCATTATTATTAATATTATTATTATAATCATTGCTACTATTATTATGTTGAGCAGTCCTTGCCAACATTTGTTTAACAAATTATGTGCTAATTGTAGGCAAATGCAATTTTGTAAAGAATTTTTCTGGAATTCTTCTAAAACAAGATTTATGGCTTATATTAATTAAAATGCACGACAAATCATCAGCCAGAATTGGCAGAAGAAGCAGAAGATAATTGTAAATTGTGATAAGGTATTCAGAATCAGGGCTTTAACACGTTTTGCCATCACGTCTCGTGTTGCGACAAAAGACAAACAACAACAACAACAACAACAACAACAAGAAGAACAACGATGGGGGCAACAACGTAAAGTCAAAGTTTGCGAGTGGCCTAAAGTAATATTAATGGGCATGGCAGTTCATTGTTTAAATTACCGCCCCCTTATGCGTAGCATAAACAGCCACACGTACTGCTCTATCTGCAGCAACCTCCCCCCACCAACCACCAACCCTCAAACCCTCAAACCCCAAACCCCAATCTGCCAGCCTCGCCCACAGCCCACAGCCCCCACTGCCCGAGTGTTGGCTGTCTTGGCTTATTAGGTTGAGAATGCCGGACAGCCTATACAAACATCAACAGCCAACAGGCAGCAGTCGCAGCCAACAGCAGCAGCGAGCAACAACCAACAACAACAACAAACAACAACAACAACAACGACAATTATAAGCCGACTGAATGGAGCAGCACTCAACAATTATTTGCATACAAGCGTGCAAGACAGAGACAACAAATACACACACATATATACACTGTGTGTGTGTGTGTGTGAAAAACGCGTGAAAATTTTGAAAATGCCTTGCCCATCCTCAAAAGG